GTAATAGCACATCCAGACGGATGTAGATTTAATTCCTCTGATTCTATGCTGCATACACTTAACCTGTAGTGCATACAATCCATCCAATGATCGCAGCAGTGTTTTTGATCATTAGAATGTGTTCATGGTTATCAAGCTTAAGTTGGTACAAGAAATTAGACCATGTAGACATATTAGAAATATTATAACAGTTTGCAGCAGCTTTTTTTGTGTGTAAAGGACCTGTTTAACTAACTTGACAATCATTATGAGGGTGGAGATTATCAGGAGTGTTTATTTAAATATGGAAACTCCAAAGTGTAGACTGCACCAATTGTACATGACATCTGATAGACACTCAGAGTTCTATATCTAACTGTATTCGTGATAGAGACATGAAATTTCAGAGATATTAAAATATTCTCATAAGTATCAGTGAACTGGTTCAATGGATATAATCACTCACTGCACAAACCTGACAGTCTAATTGGTTTCTGAGACCCACTGTGGAAGGACAGATCTGACTCCGACTCCACAAATTTTCCTCTGTCACTGTGACATTCTTACACATACATTTACATGTCTCTTTCTCTTCACACACGCACATACACACACACACACGCACACACACAAAGAGAAAGAGACAACACGTTTACACAGTTAAAAAATTAAAAATTAAATTAAGTGAATAATATTTCTTATTCATTTTTAAGTGAAACTATGGAGTAATATGTTTTCACAAGGAAAAATGCAGAAAAAACCTGAACTAACAAGGGCAAGTTAAACACAGACTGATAAGATAGTCTTGTTTGGGGTTTTAAATTTATCCTGTTTTAATAATTCATTTATAACAAGGATTCAAAATTCAAGAAAGTTAAGGAATACATATAAAAGGAATTTTTTCAAAGTATCATTGAAAATCAGACAGCTGTCCTAATAGGCAGAGCACCAATATTTGATATTCTGCTTTGAATTTTGAATATTCCCTTTTTCATCTACAGAGGGCAGAGCTATAGTCACTAAGAACATCTGAGGCTTTGTCTAGATTCTTCTGTCTAGTTAAGCATCTTTAATATAAGAGAGATGTAGAACTGAAGGGGCTATTTTTCCAAGTATCGCTGAGACTTGTCCTAAGAATATGATTGTTTACAGGACATTTTTGAAAATCCAGGCATTGAAATGATACCAACAATCTCAAGCACTGTCTGACCTCAACTGTCTACTGTCTGGAACCCATGTGTTTCCTTGTCTTGAAGTAATTTGGTGCTTACACTTAGTATAGTTCAAGGAGGTACAGCAGACTGTACTTTTCCCAACCTTTGTTTTATACCCCTTTCCCCACTGACACACCTCTCATAACCCCCAACTCCATTGGAATTCATACATTCCATCATTTGTGTTAAGGCCTATTGTGTCAAATTAGTGTCCCCAGATGTCCCTCAGTGCACATATATCCACTGGGGTCTAGGCAGCCTATCTAGACTTCCTCCCCTTAAGAAGATCAGATCTACCTCAACTGGTAGTAATCAGATGCCAATAATTCCTTGACTAAGATTGGGGCTTGTTGCCCATTTCACATTTTCACAGTTCTGTGTTGGGGTTGTCTGCTTGAGTTTGCATAGGTCTTGTGCATGCTGACACCATTGCTGTAGGTTCATATGAGCAAGGTGGCAGGTGGAGTTTAATATAAGAGTCCTGTTCAAGAACCCACAATCTGCAGACTCTTCCTCTGCAGGCCCTTGTTCTATGTTCTGTGACCTTAGGTGTAGAGGTTGCATTGTAGACGTATCACTTATGCTTTGGCAAGTCATTGGAAATTTCTGTGTGTGACCAGTTGTGGAACTCTGTGGTAGTCTCCATCTGTTGCAAAAGAAGTTTCTTCAATGACTGTTGACTGAAATACTTGTCTGTAAGTATAAGAATCTATATTTTGCGCATAGTAAAAATTATGTTTTTCTAGGGATATGATCTGTGATATCTCCAGCCATGTGTATTTGGTGATGTTTACAGTACTATACATGAGTTTCCTGGCATTGAGTGAGTTAAATCCAACTAGGTAGCTGTTGATTACTCCCAAGATAAAAAGTGCTGTTACTACACCAGTGTCATTTGCTATAGTAGACATTGATGTGGTTTTTAGGTTTTAAATCTGGGGTTGGACCATTGATTGTTGTTTTCCCTTAACCGCTTTCATAGTTCTCTCCAAAGCTTTGAGAGCTAGCCTTCACGGGAGGTGATTTCCAGGTCAGTTTCAGCAGTTACATCAGGATATGCATTTGATGTTAGGATCCACAAATGAGGGAGAACATACATCATTTGTTTTTCTGTGTCTGTGTTACTTCATTTAGTATAACAGTTTCTAGTTCTATCCATTTACCTGCAAATTTAATGATTTTGTCTTTCTTTTCCACTGACTAGAACTCCGTTGTGTAAATGTACCACAATTTCATTACCCAGTTGAGGGACACTTAGGTTGCTTCCATCTCTTAGCACCACATGGAGGCCAGATTCAGGCACTTACAGGCAGTATTCAAGGGTCTAGGCCTGAAACAGAGTCTTACAACACAATTCAATAAAGCAAGATTAGGGTGGGTGTTTCTGGTATAAGAAGCAGACCAAGAAATGACACATCAGACTTAAAGTAGAATGTGAAGCATTGAGAGCAGGTGAGAAGGAGAGTTTGTGACAGGGTCAGCTGGAAACAGTTCACACAAACTTTTCTCAGCCTCCAATAAGCTGAATGATGAGAGCTCATAGTAGAGAGAGACAGCTTGGTGGGTGGGATGAGGAAAGGGAGGTAGAGGTCAGAAGCTTCTCAGTGGAGACACCCATTTCCTCAAGCTTCCTTTGTATAATTATCAGTCTCATCATGAATAAGTCACTCCAGTAGTATGCTTCCCAAGTTGTTCTGGAACTCACCTCCACCAGAAAACTCTTAGAATTGAGCAATACTTTCATCAAAACGGAAGTTGTGAATTCATTGTACAAAAATCTGCAGCCTTCTTATGTAACAGTAAGAATAATGTTGAGATAACAATCTTAAAACCAGGGGAGAGAGAGATGGCTCAGCTGTGCAGAGCACTGACTGCTCTTGCAGAAGATCTGAGTTTGAGTTATAGCATGGCTAACAACTAACTGTAACTCCAGTTCCAGGGAAACTGATGGTCTCTTCTGTCCTCTGCAGGCACTGCATGACATGGGTGCACTTACCTACATGAAGGCATAACACTCATACACATAAAATACAGATAAATGTAAAGAAGAAATCACAAAAACAATTCCTTCATTATAGTCTAAAAAAAGAAAGTACTTTGGAATAAGCCTAACCATCAAAATGAAATATGTCTAAAATGAAAATTTCACACAAAATGACAGAGAAAACTGACAAAGACACCAGAAAATGGAATGAATTCCCCTGCTCAGAGGTTGACAAAATTTATATTTTGAAAATGCTCTATTATACTATCCAAAGCAATCTTCAGTTTCAATACAGTCCCCACCAAAATTCCAGTGGCATAATTTATAGAACTAGAAAAGTCTATCCTAAAAGATACACTGAATTACCAAAGACCCAAGATAGCTGAAGCTACCATGAACTCAAAAACCAGTTAAGCAGATCTCACCACATGTGATTTCAAGCTATGATACAAAGGCCTGGTAACAAAAACACCATGGTACTGGCACTAAATAGGCACAGAAGTTAATAGACTAGAATAGATAACCCAGCTATAAATGTATCTAGGAGCCAGCACTTGATTTTTGTCAAAGGCTCTGAAAATATGTATTAGAGAAAAGAAAACTTTTTCAACTAAGGTTTTAAAGTTACAAAACCCTGGATATCCAATATAGAAAATGAAACTAGATCCATAGGCTTCACCCAGTCTAAAAAAACTCAGGCCAGAGAAATGGCTCAGTGGGTGGAGGCAACTTCCACCAAGCCTGATAACCTGAATTTGAACTCAGAGACCCACATGGTGGAAGGCCAACCTCCTTCCCTGGTAAGGAGGGATTGGGGGAGTGACCCCACAAACTATGCCTTGACTCCCATAACCTGAATCAATCTCTCCACTCCAACATCCTGTTCTTCTTGCCCTGGGCACAGGCCCACTTCCTTCTTTGACATCTCAGCCCTCTGGACTATCCTCTTGGCCCAGATTCCCCTACTGCTTCCTGATCCTTTACACCCAGACTAACCCAATTCTTCCATCTATTTCTCTAGAGACCTTACAGCCTGCTCCCATCCCAACTTACCTTTGCACACCTGAGACCAACCTTCTTCCCTGGCTGTATACCCAGGCAGACCCCTCACCTC